CAGTCCTGTGCCAAAGATTTTACGTGCATCTTATTTGATCTTATATCAACCTTTGAGGTAGCTGAGTGGCTTTGGATCATCCACTTAACTGCTCTATTCTTCCATTTCCTCATCAGTTATATGGAAATTACAGAAATATCTACCTTATGAAATTATTATGTGGAATGAATGGGATTGTATATGTGTGAGTCTCAGATAACTTAATAACCAGCCCAAGGTCACTCAGTTAATAAATGGGAGAACTGTGGCTCAAATCCAAGTTCAAATCATTCCATATCCATGTTCGTGAACACCCTACTATATGCTGTATGTCCTCCTGGATAAAGTACCATCTCTTTTGAGTTATTCTGGAAAAGGAAGGAGTAGGAAAGGATGAGACTGGGGACCCAAGGATGCAGTTTTCTGTTTTTTCCTATCACCACATAATTTTGGGGTAGGGTTGGCCATGAATCAGAAGCATCTGTTGAATACGTTTTTCATGAACTGTCCTTTTTTTCCTCTTCTCAGAAGAACATCCTAGCACGTCCCAAGACCATGACTTTAAAGCTGCTTTATTTTATTCCCTCCTAAAAGCTGAATTCGTGGAATCTTCTGAGTGAACACTCATCTCCTTCCTCCCTTGTTTGGCAAGTTGTTGGTCAGTCTTCAAAGAGCCCATCTTCCTTGAAAGTATGATATGCCTCTGTCACCAGTTTGATTTGGAGAATTGCAACCACTAGGCATGAAGCTTAGATGTACCCTGAAGTTGAAATGATCTCAAAAAATTCCAAGATAGGTGTGTAAAGTACCACCACCCCTGTGGGCTTATGATGTTGACTTGTTTTAATTGTATGAAACTCCCCAGAGACAGGGAAGGAAATCATCCTTCACCTTCCGTTGCTGAAAAGCATGCTGCAGAGAAAAATGGTGTTTCTTAGCAAAGATGCTAGGGACAAAATTTCTCCTTGGAAACCCCGAGAAGCAGAAGTTCCTTCTCTTTCTCGGCAGTCTCAAGGTAGCTTGAGTTGTAAATATAAACTGGTTGTAACTGTCCTCCTGAGTGGCCTTGCAACCCATGACCAGAACTGGTCAAAGATTTTTATTTCACCTCACCACAGGGAGGAACATGAAGGCACGGCCACTAGGTGTTTAATCAGCAGGTGAAGTCAAGCCTTTTATTCTTTGTATACTGCAGTCAATAGAAAGTTATTGCTTAATTAACCCCTTTGAATGAATACCTGATAATTAATAAACCCATAAAGTATACCCTAAGGCTTTAAGTTGAAGAAGGCTCCCCTCTTCAAGTGGAAAAGAGAAGAAGAAGAAAAAAAAATCATGCTGAACTAATGGGAAAAAGTTCCAGTAGAAGGCAAAGCAATTAGGATTAGTGAATTCCATTTCATTTAAAGTTCCAAGATAGAGGAGCCATTTATCTAACAAATTAATAATGAGAGTGACTTGCCTAATATAGTAACAAGTCCTTATATTTTATTAGTGGAAATCCAAACCAAGTAATTTAATGATAGACAAGCTTCCACATATATAATTTTTTGTTAGGCTTTTTAAAAAAAAAACGTCGCCGTACTCAGTTTTAGATTTATGCATCGCTTCTAAATTAGTCCCCACTTCAGTTTGGAATGATACATTTAATATTATGGCTCTGTAGAAAAAATCAATTTTTTTTAGTGTTTTCTTTCATTTTAAAGAGCTTCGTCATCTGGCTAATTGTGTCACTGTAAAATAATAGAAGAGTTGAGGAGGTGGTTCATGTTTCTCAAGTATCGTTAAATTTGCCGTGTGTTACAAATGGGGACTACTGGGGGTCTGTTGAACGCGGGAGCTGTGGGGTAGAGCAGAAGGGAAGGTATTAATGTAGGGCCACTAAACATATCTCTCTTTCTAAATTGAGAGAATATATGAGATATATCCTGAAAAATGTTTGCAGTAGCAATAGTGTGACCGAGATCCACTGTGGTCTTGAGTTCTCGTGGAGCCTCTTGGGTTTGCCTGAGACCCAAGGCAGGTGAGGAGGCCCTGAGACTTCTGCCCCTCTGATCTTCTCTCCAGATAAGGAGGAATTTATTAATCATCCAGCAGGTATTTACTGTGCCCCTGCTGTATGTCAGATATTTGATGCTAGTCCTTGCCTTACCCTCAAACCAATGGGGGAGCAGCTACAATAGCCTCACTTGGCCTCTGCTCTCAAAGTTTGCCTCTGCATTAAATTCCTAGAGAGGAATATACTTCAGTGTGGGGAAGAGCACTAGTTGAGGGACGTATAGTTCAAAAAAATCAAAGATTTTGGAGAAAAGCACAATGGCACCCAAATTCCATCAGCCATGACCTTGCACAGAGCTGAGCCTCAGCTTCTATAATGTGTAAATCAGATATTTTCCACATAGGCTAGTTATTGTGTTGTACATAAATGTCTGATATATGGTGAACACTTAGAAGTCCTGGAGAATAAAATGAGACTGCAGTGAAAATGTATTTTGAAAGTCAAAAAAATACAGTATCAATTTAAGATACTAAAAATTTTAGCAAATGGTGGGAGAAATATATTGCTTGAAAGGCAGTTGAGATATATTTATTTATTTGCTAGCTAGCTATTTTGATGCCTCTCCTTTGATTTTGCCCAGTGACTAATAGCCTTTTTCAATTGCTTCTTTTCCACTTTCACTTTCTTTACATATGCAAAATCTTAGAGGAGTCCCAAAGTTTGTAAATACCACCACCACCACCACCAATAATAATAACAGCTCAGTAGCACTAAGACCAAATACCATACCAGGCACCCTGTATGGATCTTTCTAAAATAGTTCTGACAACCCTAAAAGAGCAATACTATTTGGCCCATTTTAGAGATGAAGAAACTAAGGCTCTGTCTTTCTGATATAATCTATTACAAAGACTTTTATTAGTAATAGTGAACATTTATAGAGTATTTAAGACTATGTGACAGGCAGTTGATATTTTCATCTTGTTTATTTCTCATTTATTCATTCAACAAATATTTACTGAATACTAGGTAGTCATAGTGGCCCAATCAGTATAGACTGGTCAACAGGAGAGGACTCATAAACTCAGTCAGGAGATAGTATAGAATAACACTATGAGGTAGGTGCTATTGTTATCTTTAGTTTATGTCCAAGAAAAATGAAGATATGATTCAAATCCAGATACTTCACTTTTAACCATGACACTATATTGCTTTTGAGAAAATTGCTTGGGATCAAGAGAACTGCGACCCTGGGGATGGTATGGTTGAGATGAGCCATCCTCCTCCGAGTCTATAAGAGAATTGGGTCTAGATAGTCAGTGTGACTGCAGATCATTCTTTGCCTTCTCAGGAGGGGGACCAAGGCTCTGAGGCAGCAGCCCTAGTTCCTCCATTTGCCACTAATTACCATGTAACCTTGGTAAGTCCCTCAGTTTTGCTGTGCTTCCCTCATCAGCCAAATGGGGATAGCCACACCTGACTTAGAAGTCCTGGAGAATAAAACGAGACTGTAGTGAAAATGTATTTTCAAAGTCAAAAAACACAGTATCGATTTAAGATACCAGTAATTTTAGCAAATGATGGGAGAAATATATTGCTTGGAAGACAGCTGAGATGTTTTTATTTATTTACTAGTTACTCTATTTTGATGTGTCTCTTTTTTGATTTTGCCCATGACTATTGATGACACATATATAAAAGAAAAATGCTCACTGAAATGGAAAATAGAGACTTTAAACATGAAAGTTCAAGATAGATCAGAATGATTGTATTCATTTTTTTTTTTTTTTTTGCCTACTTCTGTTAGCAATAACTGGTCCTGTACTGCTAAATATCTAGTTGAAAATATCTTAGCAGACACATTCTACCTCTACCTAATAAATGAGACTTCCTATATAGACTGTCTGATAGTTGTACAAAGGAATCAAATGCATATATCTAACCATACACAGGTACTCAAAGATCAATTGTATTCAATAATATAATGGATGTGTTTTTCATCTTTAAAATTCCTGCAAGAGTAGTTATTCTTCACAGATTAAATTAGCAAAGTAGGAACAGATGAAGTCAATTGTCAATTGTTCAAATGCAGGTACATATTATAGAGACAGATCACAACCTTGGGGGCTGCTAATGTGAGAAGATAAATCCCTCCTCATAAAACGAGTATTAGTAGCAATCTGCACCAATGCATTTAATTTCTCATATCCTTGTAAATCTTCAGAGCTCGAATGAGGTGCTTACTTCCTATTACTTCACTCAGATCAGAAGGTTTAGAATCATCCTAAAAATCTCTTTTTATTTTTTCAAACCTGCTTCATTTCATTCTCAAGAACACTGTAGCATCAACGTTAAACAGAGCTAGTTAACAGGGGTTTTAAGAAAATTAAAGGTGCAGCCAAGTCTAGACATCCCAAAATAAGTGGATGGGGGTTACATGATTTTGGTCCAGTTATTTCGGCCACCTTCTTAATGGACAATTTGGATCGCTGCACAGTCAATCCGCTTAATTGCATCTGTGTTGGCCATTAAAACAAATTGAATGCGCTATGGCCAATTTGGTCATGTCGTAAAGAAATGGCCTATAGGGTCCATGGAGATGCAGAATTTCAGCCATTATTCGATTGTATCTGATCAATGGAGACAGTCTGTATAGGAAATCCAGGAGCTAAAGTAGATCACACAGGAGGCCCCAACCTACTTTGCCGACCATGTTATTAGGATCCACTGTCGACAGCAACAAAATTGGCCAGGTGGTTGACAAAGCATCACTTTACTTTGTCCTGAGAAGAGAAAAGTCAGTGCCCCATGACTTTGCCTAAAATATCCCGTCAGCAAACCAACAGGTCATCTTTTCCACTTTGAGTCCTGAGTAATTTGAGAAGTAGGAAAAAAAAATACAAAATGTCCACTGTCTGTGACCTCTAGTGTTGGTGTAAAAATAGACCTTATGCTGCATCCATTGTGATTAATGCTGGGTAGAGGTAATTTAAGAGGGGCCTAATTTTCTTATTTTTTTCAGATCTCGACTCCATGTACTTTACCTTTCCCTGCACCTCTGCTTGTCTGAGAGGTCTCAAGATCATCATTTGGGACCTCCACTTCTGCTGGGTCTGTCATCTTAGACCGCCTTGATCTTCAGCATCTTTGTGAAGTTGAACAGGGGAATGAGCCTTATTATAGGTATTTCTGGATAATACTTTATATATTTAAGCCATAATGTAAGGAGTAACTGTGGGCCATATTTACTAAACATTTGATATATGTTAGGTGCTATTTGGCGTTTTAAGTATATTGTCTTATCTAATCCTCATCTGACCCTGTGAGGTAGGTTCTGGTGTGTTTACTGCGTGGATGAGGGAGCTGACACTTAAAATTCTAATCGCTTGTCAAGGTCAAGGTCATTCAACAGGATCAGAATCAGGACATAACCCCTGGTCCCTCTGGGTCCAAAGCTTGTAGTCTCAAGTACTGTGTCATCCTAAGCACCATTGATGATGACTCATTTCAGGCTGGCTTAAGGGATAAGCTTTCACCAATTTGTTCTTATAAATATTTACTGTTTTCAAACCATGTGTTAGACATTGTGGGAGTACAGAGTTGAATGAAACACAGTCCTTGCTTCTAAGGAATGTACATCTAGTTGGGGAGATAAACTTGCAGTGTGACAGTATGAGTTGGGTGCGTTCGGTCTGATCAGACAGCAAAGCTCTTTCCTTGTTGCCTTGCTGAGTGATAAGCAAATCTGCTCCCCAACTTCTGCTCCCTCAGCCTGTAAAGAGAAGTGTTCTCTGCCAGGGGTTCCGTGTTTTTCAGGAACTTAGCAATGTGATAGGAAGCAAAAAGGGGCCACCGCCTGGAACCAGCAGTGGAGGTTTTGTCACCATTCTAATGGGGCCAGAGACTGTGGGAATATAAAACACTGACAGTGGACACTGAGAACCACTGTGCATGGGCCAGACAAGTGAGGGCTGAGTCCTGGTGGATTGTGAGAAACCATGGGAAAGTGGCTAGAGCCACCTCACTCACTCCAGGTACCTTCTAGCAGTCAGTGACCTTGCATGATTTGATTAGAGGATAAATAAAATGTGGCACATATATGCCATAAAATACTATGCAGCCATAAAAAGAGAAAAAGGTTATGTCCTTTGCGGTAACGTGGATGGAACTGGAGGCCATTATTCTAAACAAACTAACACAGGAACAGAAAACCAAATTCTTCATATTCTCACTTAAAAGTGGGTACTAAACATTGAGTACACATGGACACTAAGAAGGGAACAACAGACACCAGTCCCTACTTGAGGGTGGAAGGTGGGAGGAGGGTGAGGATTAAAAAGCTACCTATTGGGTACTATGCTTATCACCTGGGTGACAACATAATATGTACACCAAACCCCACCACCAGTATTTTACCTGTATTACAAACCTGCACATAAGCACCTGAACCTAAAATAAAGGTTAAAACAATCATAAATAAATACATAAAAGGCAAAAAAAAAAAAAAAAAAAAAAAAAGAAGTGTGAAGAGCCATTATCCAAGAAGAAGAAGAAAGAAGAGGAGGAAAAGGAGATTATCTTTGGAAATATTCTCATGGAAAGAGATGAGACTTGCTTCTTACCTCCACCATCATATCCTGTTTGTTCCTCCTAGGGAACTTATCACCTTATCCATTTCATCTTTGTCAGTCCAAATTCTAGCCACCTAAAGCAAATCACCTTACCTCCTTTGTGACAATTTTTCTGATCATCTCAAGGAGAATGGTTGGAACATGTCTTCTCATTCTTTCTCAGTTCCTCATTTTCATTCATTCATTCAGTCAATCAGTCAGTCTGTCAACAAATATTGAGTGCCCAGTAGATGCTGACCATTGTGCTAGGTCTATAGCACTGAGTCAGTGTTTGCTCATTCAGTCACCCAATGACTTCTTATTCCAACAGACATCCTTAAAAGTGATATTTGGATGAGGAGAATCTACCATATGCAAGATCACAGTGCAGCATAGACAACAACTGTATATGCTAAACCTAGATTCACAGAGTATTGATATAAACTCATGACATAAGAGAAGACCCAAGGCCAAAGAAACTTCAGTTAATAGAAGAGAGTAGAAAGGGCATTTTGCATGTACTGGAGGAGCTAGGATTCTCTAATTGGTTCAGTTATTTATTTAGAAAAGAAAACATGAAGGAGAATATGCAATGCAGTAATAGTTTCTTAGCACAATATCAGGACAGGTGGACTAAACCAGTCCAGATGCCTTCTGGAACAGGAGAGGGGAGCTTTTAGGAGTGCATAAAGACCTTTACAACAGACATTAAGTTTCAGAAAGAGAAAACATTTCACCATTTTAGGACTTATTCCAAAGAAACACCATATAGCCAAATAATTTTGGAGACCATTTAAAAGAAGAGGACTGCTCCAATATGATGGTATCCATATAAGACAGGTCTGAAAGTAAATAAAAGATGTTAGAATGAATGAAGTCATTCCAAAAGAGTAAAAGGAGAAGAAAAAATCATGCACATGGCAGAAATACAGAGGCACTAATAAAGCATTTGGACTCAGTGCAGGCAGATGAGAGAGGTCTCTGGTTGGAGAATTAGATTTGAAAAGAGGAATAGCGAGAAAGGGAGATGATAAGATAGACTTATATCAGGGGGATAGTTGTATGGAGACACCAAGAGAAGCATGCTGGTTAGAGGTTGAGTGTTGGGAGAGTGGAAGCTGAATCAAGGGCAGTGAATGAGAGTATGTATTAGTTCCAAGGCTATTGAAATAACAGTTTCCATGTCATTTCCTCCACCACTAACGTCACCGCTGACATCACCACCACAATAACTATCACCGTCATTGTCATCGCCACCATTATCATCACCACCATCATTTCTACAACTACTGTTGCTACTACCATCACCATCACCACCACCACTATTAACATCACCTCATCGTTGCTACAACTACTATTGCTACCATCACCACCACCACTATCACCATCACCATTACTACCACAAACACCATCATGCTCACTATCATCATTGCCACAACTACTATTTCTACCACCATCGCCATCACCACCATCACTACCACCATCACCATGATTACTACCACCATCACCACCACCACAACCACTGCCATGCTCACCAGCACCGTTGCCACACCTACTATTATAACTACCATCCCCGTCCCCACCACCACAGCCACCATCATCATCACCACCACCACTACCACCATCATCATTACCACCATCATTATCACTATTACCAGCACCATCACCATCACTACCACCACCACCATCGTCGTCACTATCATCATTGCCATGACTGCTATTACTGCCATCGTCACCATCACCATGACCACTACTGCCATCAGCAGTATTATCACCATCGTTGCCATTAGCACCACCACCCCAAATTATTGCTCCTCTGCAGACAGAGACAATTGTACTTCTTTCTTTCTGATTTGAATGCCTTTTATTTCTTCCTCCTGCGTAACTGTTCTGGCTACAACTTCCAGTACGACATTGAATAGCAGTGGTGACCATGGGCATCCTTGTCTTTTCCTGATCTTAGAGGGGAAAAGCTTCTAGCTTTGCACCGTTGAACATGATGCTAGGTGTGGCTTGTCATATATGGCCTTGATTATGTCGAGATACATTGCTGTTGCACCTGATTTAATGAGCGCTTTTGTCATGAAAGGAGATGATCTTTGAATGGCTGCTATTTTCGTGGACTCTTTGGCCCTCTCTGGGTGCAGCTTAAGTCTTCAGTAAGGACTCTAATGAGTAAATTCTATGCAGCTTGACATTCTTGTCTGAATAATAAAAGTTCTACAAACCAGATGGCTCCGGTAATCTGTTTATTATCATTTCTCTTTCCTAGTTAGAATTTATCATTTTTCATGTGTGTGAAAAGGAGTCTCTTCATCATTTCTAGGCTATGTTATACTTCTGTATCCAGAAACTGTGACTTCGAGAGCCTGGGAGATGTGAGAGCATTTGACAGATACATAAGTTAATGAAAAGAATATTTAATCTAATTTTTTAGATGAGGGGTAGAGCATTTGACAGATACATAAGTTAATGAAAAGAATATTTAATCTAATTTTTTAGATGGGAACACTGAGACCCAAGAACTTGGAATGTCTATACCTAACTGCAGGTGAATTTTTTTACAAGAGTTTATATTAAGTGCCTCATGGAGACTTAGAAGACTTACATCTCTCAATGTTTTGAGATTGACCAATTTTAAGTTAGAGTTGTTTCCAAGAAGAGGAAAAAATAAAGAAATGATCAACCTTTCTAGCAGATAGATAGTCACAGCTTTCCTATAACACAATTTAAAGGAATCACAATTTGTAAATGCACAGATTACAAAAGGACTATTCATCTTATAAACCAAGATGCTGTAGAACTAATTTCAATTAAAGTTTTGCGAGTGAATTTTAAATCACAGTGAATTAAGCAACGATCGATTTACATGCAACTTCTAGCAAAAAAATTACTATGTAGAGTAAGAGACACCTGTTAACTTCACTACCTGAAATCCATTGCCATGATTTTTACCCATGATATTTTCTTAGGACAAAGTATTAAAAGATTTGCATCTTTGATTTCAAGCTGTTTCTGGGACCCTTTTAAAGAATAAAGATGTTGTTATAGCTTCAATTGTGTGTGTGTTTGTGTATGTGTGTTGTGTGTTTGGCAATAGGAATATTTCGGGAAGAATCTCTAAGTCGATAGAGTTCAGAAGAGCAGGATATTCTGAGAGGGTTTTTTCTCTGAGTCAATAAAAAATCAGGCCATGGTTCTCTCCTTTCATCATCTAGAAAATAAAGAACATTATTTGTCTTTTAATCCTCTGGAAAGATAAAAAGTGGGTAAAAAGATAAGGGTTAGGGTCAAGAGACCTGTATTCAAGGTTTGTGCTCTGTCACTCAGTTAACCATGGATGAGTCCCTTAACTTCTCTGAATCTTAGTTTTCTTATCTATGAAATAGAGGTAACACTTGGTGCCGTCAGGATTAAGTGAGAATGTACTAACGTTCAAAGAGTATGTAAAAGTCGAACACAGTGCCTGACATAAAATCGATACTCAATAAACTAACACAAAATAGACACTCAATAAACATGTTGAAAACGTGGAGATTTGTGTGTTCACACTAATTGGTTTAAGTCTTAAGCCCAGGAAAAAAAATCTGAACTGCAACATGCAATGAGGAGTAAACCTTGTTTGCTAACTAAATGTTGAGATTTCAAAGAACGCTCTCCTCCTCAAACCATTTTGCCTTTGAAGAGACCCACATATTTCTCATGTGAGCAAAATGGTTCTTCATTCCTTAACCCCACTGCTCGGAGGCCCCTGGACTGGGGTGCGATTTCTCCTTGGTAGGATTTTTCTTGTCAAATGAGGCCAGATAGTGCATTATCAAAATGACCCATGCTGGTGCTTGGATGATGTCACGTCCCTTGAGAGGAGGGCAAGCAGATATATCAAGCCTTGGGCATCCCCAGGTTTGGCTCACTGCTAGTGAATCCAGAGCACCCAAACTGGCTAGACTGGTTCCAGAGAAATAAATCAACCTGAGCAAGCCATTGTCCAGGGATGAGTCTGGGCAAGAGGTTGACTTTTCTGGCTCCCACCCTCCTTCCAGATTGTCATTTAGAACCAGCTCAGGCATCCTGTCTGAATGTCCTCTCTGTAAAACCTGCAGCAGATCACCAGAGCCACAGAAAACCGCTCACCCTGCCAATGGAGACCCTCCTGCGAAGATGCCGGGCTTCTCTTTGCTAACACATGGCTTCTGTGTCAATCAGCCTTTCTCCTCAAT